TGTATCTTGGACCCTTCAGCAGAGATGAGGTCTGGTAAGTTCTCCTCTTTCTAACCCCACACATCTTTTACTTTACTGTCTTCGGACCCAAGTGACGCTGACTCGAGTGACGTCACCTGAGGACATTTATCAGACTTCACACAGCTCCCTCTGGGCACACTTAAGGCTAGACTAGTTTTTGGCTGGACCACAACAGCTGGGCCAGCCCTATAAATGTCACTGACTGACTGATTGACTGAGTGATGATGATATTTCTACCACTGGTCAGTGGAGTGCCGAGCCACAGCCTACCAAGCTGCTGTTGTTTCTAGGCTGCTTGGGAACTGCAGGGAAGCTTCCAATACAATGATCCTCAACTCCATTACAGCAAATAAACAACTTTCATTACATGTATCATTATTCCTAAAAGAGGCAGGTGAATGACTTAACATAAATCACACCAAGCAGAGAGAGCAGGAGAGAGGGAGGGAGAGAGAGGAGTCATCAGTAACGAGGCTTCGTACTAACCACTATGACCAACTCTACATATCAAACAGAGGGAGTTAGACATAAAGACCTGCCTCTAATAAAAGTCTGTTACGTTCTGAAGTTGAAGTAAATAAAGACTAAACTATTTTGGATCCCAGACAGAGGCTGTGCTCTGTGTGAGAGACTAAATAAGAAAGATAGTCTGTCTCAGGACAGCTAAGTCTTTGTCTGTAATTTATGTTTGGTGATTTTGTCAGATGATGTCACAGTTATAAAATCAGGATTTGTCCATAGGAGATCCAGACATGTACTAGGTTTAGACCTAGTCTTGTTTTAACATATGTGTTATGTGTGTTAATTTTTAGGTTTCATTTTGTGAACATTCAGTCATGATCATACTTAGAATTCTTTTCTCACCTTTGCTCACTGTGGGTAAATATCACTATCTGAAGCTTCTTGCTACTATCTATCTATCTATCTCTCTATCTATCTATCTATCTATGTATCTATCCATCTATCTATCTATCTATCTATCTCAAGATCCAAAAGAGCACTTTAACATCCAGGAATATGGAGTATGATGAGCATCTGGAGGTCTCTGAATAAATAGGTGCTGATAAGATGACAAATGGGAAATAACACTGTGGATAGATCATACACTTCTGAGCCAATGCACACAATCCACGAAGACTGTGGAGCAACAAGCCTTTGTCTGACCTTTAGTTTCATCCAATTTCTCATAATCCACTGCATGTTTTACTTCTGACTGTTGAGTGGCTATTTGCTGATATGGAGTGATGCTGATAAAAGAGGAGCAGACACAACCTGTGGGATGCAGAGAGCGAGCACAGAGGCTCTGCTGCTTCCAGGTGCTTCCAGGAATAGCAAGAACTGCTAATGGCACTGGCCAGCAAAGTGGCCCGTAATGCCTGTTGATGGAAAACACAGCTGGCCAATTACAGCACCCATATCTAATCACCAGGGTCAGGGGTCAACTCCTATCCACCATCCGTCTTCATTTGGCGTCCCTGTCACAAGCTGCTGCGTCACCACCAGAGGGAGTTTGATAGATGTCAGTGTTGAGTCAGGAGACAACACACACACACACACACACACTCACACATACACACACACACACACACACACACACACACACACACACACACACACACACACACACACAGCTGTGTCTCCAACTACTACTCCTAACCTTCACATCATGACTTGCTTTGTGTCCCCATAAGGAAGATGTGACTGTGAAAACAGATTTAGGTCCCCACAACATGAGTAATACCTGGACCACATATACACACACACAAACACACATACACACACAGACACACACACACTGAACATCCAAATGCTGGTGATGTAATAAAATGCAGTTGACATTCTAACTCCATCGTAGAAGCGTACAGCTCCCACACACACTCAGACATACAGAGAAAACACACACACACACACACACACACACACACACACGGATTCAGATGCTGGCCTGGGTGAAGTGATGTAATAAAAAGCTGCTGGCAGGACGCGTCTGCTCACACAGCAGCTTTATGAGAGGAAGATCATATTCCTGAAAAGCCTGAACCTTCTGTTGTCTGCTCTCAGAGGACAGAGGAACAGTTGTTACTCACAGTGTGTGTGTGTGTGTGTGTGTGTGTGTGTGTGTGTGTGTGTGTGTGTGTGTGTGCGTGCACGTGCGTGTGTGTGTCTCTCCACTGTAATAAATCACTCACTATATGGAAAACAGAAAAGACAACAGAGCTGTAGTTCATGTATTTGGGGATTTTAGTTTACACAATCAATAATCCTTTACATCTAAAGGGTCAGTTCAAACAAAAGTGACATCACCGTGTAGTCACCGGTGGACACAGATGGAAGGAAAAAAAAACAGAAGAGCTTATGAGAAGTTGTGTTTGTGCTATAAACCCTCTATAATGAGTGGAAAATGTTCTGCAGAGCTGAAGTCATGGTGTCCAATCCGGGCTAACCTCTGCTCCACTAGCTTCTGTTACAGAAAGAGAGCATGTTCCTGTGGTTTACTGTCTGACATACTGACGTCCACTACAGCACTTAGAGATGTTAGCATAAATTAATTGTCATCAGAATAACAACGTATCAAATAACAATGTGAAAACAATGTCGTGACGAACCTATAGAGAATTATCAGCTGAATCTGCAGCTCCCCACGGCTTTACTGAGCGTCAGCTCAGTGTTTATCTGTTTACTGTCTGGTTCTGTCTCGTTTTTTGCCAATGCATTCAGTTGTTTTCAAAGAAACATCTGTAAAAAGCTTCTGTGCTCTACCTGCCCAGCAGCAAACAGCAGACAGACTCAGTCAGAGAGCAGCTGGTCAACAAAGTAGAGCATTTAGCAGCTAAAGAGGAGCTGGTGGAGACCAAACACAGAGCTAAAAGAAAGGGAACACTGGACTGAGATTCATTAGGTGCCACAAACACCACTCCACATGAATCCTCATGTTCCTCCAAAAGTGCTGAATGTGGAAATAAGCAACTGTTGTCAACTAATGCTGCCAAGTAGTCAGGATCATCAGTTATTACAGGATTAAAAAACTATTATTTGTGAGCGTACAAAAAAACTACAGCTCCCATGAAAATTTACCAGTGCAGGACCACGGAGCTCAGCATGTATTATTTCATTCGTATCTACTGTACAGTCGGCAGAATAACAACCAGTGTTGGTGTCCATGCAGCAGCTGCAGGAGTGATACATGGCTACATTAGCTGCCTCAGCCACACTTCCTCTGTTCCTCTATTTATGCATCAAAATACATTTTACAACATAGATAAATAAAAAAAATAACAAGAAATAATACAATAATAAGCTTCATTTAGAGCAAATATTGAACATCTTTAGGAGGTCCTTGGTGTCAATTAGGGGGTCCAGGATGCCTCTATTTCACACAGGGATTATTCCTTTTAGTAGCTGCTCACAGTAGCTTTCTCACAGGAATTGTTATGGCTAGAGCTGACAGATATCTATCAAGGTTTTGTGTGTAATACAAAAGTTTTAGAAGTGAAAAGTGTGCCTCATTGCAATTCACCTCAAGCTTCACCTTATACTTCTACATACTGAATATGTCCATAAATTAGATATCATGACAGTGCTGGTGAATAATAAGCTTGGGGTGCAGGTGGACACAATGAATTTTGATTTATGTTGCTTTATTCTATTATTCAAAGTAACTTTAGTGAGTATAATATCATCACAGCTGATAGGAATGATGGATAAGACCCAGCTTGTTGTAAACCAAAATGATTCTTTGATCCCATCCAGGTTTTGAAAATGCAAAAGCACTGTAACAACATTTATAGAAAGGCAGTCTATCTTGTTGTGTGCAGTAGAGCATACAGTACATGGGAAAAGATCAGATGATTACACTGTGTGTGCGTGTGTGTTTGTGTGTGTGTGTGTGTGTGTGTGTGTGTGTGTGTGTGTGTGTGTGTAAACACATGTGTGAGTGGGGTTTGATTCGGCATAACAGATAAAGAGAGAAAGCGTATGTGTGCAGTGGGCAGGCTGCAGCTGTGATGTGCTCTGAGGCTGAAGTGAGGCTGAAGTGAGTGGAGGTGTGAACACACAGCCAGGCACTGCCCCTGTCTCACCCTAACCCCTGCTCAGTCAGGAGGTCCCAACCTAGGTTCTTTGGACCAAATCCTGAACCGAGTCCACATTGGGTATGTGGCGATTATGTATCTGACACATTGAAATAACAGTGTCAGCCTACTGAATCTTGTTGTTCATGAGCTATTTGAGCCACACACTGAAGGTCCTGATAAACTATGAGTTTAAATTATAATGTGTATGAAACTGGGAACTGGTCTTGTTAGGGTTTAGTTGAAGTAAACCATAGATACAGTTCAACAGTAAAAATCAAACATTAACTATAGTACTCCAGTGTCAACCATCCACCAAATCAACCACAGCCTTTTTCTGCCTCACTGAATGAAAGACAGAATGATACTGAACATGGTCACTGGACGGAAAATGGTATTACTTAATGAACCCTTGAATCACCTAGTTAAAATAGTTGTTCAGGAGGTTAATGAAGGTCTCAGTATGCTTCAACCAAACTATGTCTCACGGTAAATATGTTTAAGCCACACTTGAGGATGAGACGGTTAAAAAGCAGCATCACTGTCTCTTCCTGGCTGCATCCCTCTGCTCACCAATCCTTCTCCAACAACTCCATCTACATGTCTCTGTAGTCTTAAGGTGATGGATTGTACAAATGGGGATAAAGAGGTCGGGATGCGTCGAAGAAAGGTTGTCGGATTACGGAAGACACATCTGCACATGAACATAGTGATTGAATGGACATGATGTGGATGTGTGTTTTCAAGCATGATGGAGGGAAAAAGCCTGAAAGATGCAGCAGGATGCTGGAGAAAGAGAGGAGAGGAGAGGAGAGGAGAGGAGAGGTGGCAGAGGAAAGGAGAGGAAAGGAGAGGAGAGGAGAGGACAAGAGAAGAGAGGCAGGGATTAAACATAGGAAGGTCACTCACCTTCACACTGCTTTCCATCTCCTTTGTAGCCTGGCTTGCAGATGCAGTTGTAGGACTTGGGTGTATTCTGGCAGAGGGCATCGATGTGGCAGTCATCCGAACCCTCTGCGCACTCGTCTGCATCTGCACATTGAACATTGAACATAAACATCCAGTTAGACCTGACTCACTGTGTGTTCAGAAAGCCCTGATGTTGGGTATGATATCTGTTTAGACAGGGAGCTCTTACTGAATAGCAGGGAGCAGATGACATTAGAGGACACCTGTACATAGATATATTTTATCTGTGACCAGTACGTCCTGCAAGGGGAGGGTCATGTAATGGAGACTACCAAAGGCATCCATTGGCCTAATGTCTGTTTTTTATTTCTGCATAGGCTCTACACAGAGCCTTACACCAGCAGCCTACACCACTGTGAGAATTTATACTTGTGCGATGGTGTGTCTGCATCACTCTGTAATTAAACCGCCAAATGATTAGCAGTGGGGTGTCTACGCTACTATCTGTGTACACTTCTAATGTAGAATTTCATAGTTTCAAATAAAACCTCATTTGTTTCCTTCTACTGCTTTTCTGTTTTCTTCCTGGTTATGTCCAAACCTGTGTCTGTAAACATATAAACACTGGTAAAACAGTAACAATGCCTATACTTTTATTTGATTCGTAGAAGAATTACCTAGCAACTGCCACAACCTCACTGTGAATTCAGGCAGAGGAGCAAGAGTGTAAGTAAAAAGAAAAAAAAACAAAAAACCATTTATTTAATGTCAGTGTGGTGAAATGAAAAAAAGGGTGGACAAGGAAGTCGTTGCTACAAAATCAGGTGATTCCATACATTGCTGAAATTAGTATAATATGAATAATGTAATATGAATAAGTACCAAAAACTGCAGTTCTTCTAATGACCACTAGAAGCTGCCTCCAACAGTGAGTCAATCCAAACCAGCAAATCAAATAGTCAATCAAAAAAATCTAATATACATGTTTACAGCCTGGTACAAAAACTGTTTTGGTCTCTATAGCTAATTTCCTCCTTCATGACACCTGTTTACATAACTCACCTGTTTATATTTTATTAAGGCTTAACGTTATGTATAATTGAGGGCATGGCCTCTTTGAATGAGGTGGGGAGCATATGCTTGCCACAAACCGTTATGCATCAAAGTCTCAGCTCCACACTCACCCCTCCTCCTTGCCCATTTTAGGATAAGCTGGGAGTTAGGGGCGGAACCAGACACTGCCAAGATGGCCACAGCGGAAGCAGCTCACTCTGAGCTTCAAAACCGCTCTTCAGAAACCTGTGGGTGACGTTACGGAGGCTATGTCCATCTTTATTTACAGTCTATTGTTATGACTCATATTCACGCTGAATTGGTGAGTGTGGGTCAGACATTTTTAATGGGTCACATGCCCAAAAGCAAACCAGTATCCTGAACAAGAAACAGCCACAGTGAATCTGGAGCTGACGTTTTTCAGTTTCCTATGAATGTAATTCAAAGACACCAATGTATAAAGTTGTTGTGTTTATCTTAATGCAAATTAATTTGCCTTCTCAGATCAATCAGTCCCAGGGTGTACTCACCCAAAAGCATCACAAGCCCTTTGTGTGACAGTGAGAGAGAGATCTGAGGTCAAGGTCCAGCCTCAGACTCACATGCAAAGAACAGAGTTTAACAGCTCCCCAATCGATCAAGTTATTGATAGAAGAGTTGGTCACATCTGGGCCTGAATCCCAGGGCAGAGAGCCAACTCATTACACAGCGTACAACCAACACACGCGCACACACACACACACACACACACACACACACACACACACACACACACACACACACACACACACACACAGTTTTTGCCATTTCCTTTTTTAGTTTATCTATTTATTAATTTTATTTTACTTGACGAGAGGCAGAGAGAGGGAGGGGCGTATGCAAGGTCTCCCAAACCTAAAAACCTGATTTCCTATAAATCTGAAGGGTCACCAGAGAGAAGAAAATGAAATAAAATTGTTTTTCTTATATCATACTGTACATACAGCACACCCCTCATGGTTGAAGCACAATCCTGAATAACTGAAGAAATGAAATGATCACACAGTAACTGACACACAGCCTACCTGGGGTGTGGCAGTATCCCAGCACAGGAACACTGGCTGGTCTCTGGGGCTCTGGACTGAATGGGTCCGGGGAATGTGTTAAAACACACACGCGTGCACACACACACACACACACACACACACACACACACACACACACACACACACACACACACACACACAGAGGGAGGGGGCCAGAGACAGAGTGTGGTGTTCTGGTTTCTCCTGTCATTCAGCAGACCTTTGCATCACAGAGCTGCTCTCTGCTCCGATCACCCCAGGCTTCCTTTAGAGACGGAATAGACTGTGTGTATGTCTGCTCTATGTCTGGCCCTCTGTCCCGTGAAGACATATAAAGGCAATAAATAAACAATATGACCAAATTTACAATAAAGTGACAACAACTTCAAGTCTTCCATGTCTTGTCTGATGGTGGACTCATATCCCCCTCTCTGCTCCTTCCACAGTGTGCTGTATGGACCTGAGCCCTCATGGTTTTGACAAAGCCCTGCCTGCATGGTGGCTCACTGTCTCAATATTGACTCTTCACCCATTCACAGTGATGGGAGGCTGAACAATGCGCTGCTGCTGCTGTCTGGTCGATATTGGGCCCATGCTGCCTGTATGTTCCTCCTGGGACTTTGACGGCCCTCACGCCATCAACCCCCCCACCCCCTCAACCCACTTTTACACACACACACACACACACACACTCCACCTCCCTCCTCTTCCTCCTCCAGCTCCAGACAGGCCACCGAACCGGGAGACAAGATGCTCTCCAGCGGCTCAGCGGACTCTTCTTAAACCCACCCCGGGGTAAATCATTTCTGCGCCGTTTCCAGAAGGTGCAGCCTGAAAACAGTCAACCCTCTCACTCCAGATCAAAGCACATGAGTGCTTAACCCTGAGATCAAGCTGCTGTTTCCCATTGAAATTGACGTTTGCGCGCAGGAAACAGAAGTTCCAGTGAAGTCTGGGCGACTGGTAAACCGACTGGAAATTCATTTGCACATCACAAATGCTTTTCAGGAAAAAAAAAACTGAACTAAACCTGAGTTTCTACTAAGACTTTGGTCTTAAATTAATGAGGTATGATTTACGAAACGACTAAATGGAACTTAATAAATGTCTTTTTTATGACCAATCCCGTCGTGTCGAACATAGTGGGAGTTCCAGACATATTAAGTGTATTTTTGCATCACTACGATGATGTTCTAATATCACAGCACATAAAAATGTCATAAATTATAATAGTATCAAATGAACATGCGGTATCTGCTGGTGTTAGTCAGAGGCAAGTTTAAAGTGGTCTAATTGTGTTTAATGATGTTTGATATCATTAGATTATCCCCGGCACTTACTCACACATGTTCCCATCATTCCCCCGTCACACTAAAGCCACCTAAAGGTGCATGTAATGGTTGACAATAAAGCAAGACAGTTAGGAAAGGGGAGCTCTTACCTGCAAGTCCGACATTCCCCATCACCCTGCAAGTATTTATGAGGAGGATAAACAAACAAACGTCCCGGGAAAAACAAGCGTTCCCCATGCTGACAGACGGTGTGAGGATTCAGCAGGGCTTTTCTGGGGGTTTGGACTATGTGTGTGTATGTGTGTGTGTCTCTGATAGGAGAGGAGGAGGACCGCTTTTGGTAGACTGGCAGCGGTAGGAGAAAGAGAGAGAGGGGGAGAGAGAGAACAGGAGAGACAGGGGAGGCAATCCCAGCCCTCTGATTGGCTTGTTTGTGCCAGTACAGAGAGAGAGAGAGAGAAAGAGAGAGAGGGAGAGACATGCAGCATACATAGCTACACAATATGTAATAATAATTAAAATTTAATTATTACTATTACTATTATACATATAGAACACACGCGCGCACATACACACACACACACACACACACACACACACACACACACACACACACTCACACACACACACACACACACACACACACACACACACACAGTTTTTGCCATTTCCTTTTTTAGTTTAACTATCAATTTTATTTTACTTAATGAGGGGCAGAGAGAGGGAGGGGCGTATGCAAGGTCTCCCAAACCTAAAAACCTGATTTAAAAAAAAAAAAAAAAACTCAAAGTGCCCCCAGATAAATCTGAAGGGTCACCAGAGAGAAGAAAATGAAATAAAATTGTTTTTCTTATATCATACTGTACATACAGCACACCCCTCATGGTTGAAGCACAATCCTGAATAACTGAAGAAATGAAATGATCACACAGTAACTGACACACAGCCTACCTGGGGTGTGGCAGTATCCCAGCACAGGAACACTGGCTGGTCTCTGGGGCTCTGGACTGAATGGGTCCTGGGAATGTGTTTAAAGGCACACTCAATAGGGGCCACATGTCATTAGCGGGATAATCCAGCTATGTCAAGGGTCACCAACCATCCATTCATTTCAAAGATTAAATAAGAAAAAATATTGCGGTGATTCTCATGGTTTAAGTCCCTCCTAATGAGCTAACAGTTCAATAACGTTGTCCCCCCAGCGCCCAACCAAGGAGCCTGGGAGGCTAAAGCAACACAGTTCAGGTAACTTTAGTAAATGGTGATTTTTATTCAAATTATATCTGCAAATCAAAGACATTTTCCTGAGATATAAAGGCTTTAACTGTGAGGGAGGTTGTATAGTGACTGATGTATTAGGCCTGTAGCCTACAGCTGGTTTTATTTCCTTTGAAAAGCACTTTGTAACTTTGTTAAGAAAAAGGTATATAAATAAAGTGTATTATTATCACTACAGCTATGTCTATGACTACATTTTAATACGTTTTACAGGCTACAACAATCAAACACACTTCAGGCCAAAGCTGGCCTGGAATCGAACCAACATCTCCTCAGACCAAAGTAAGACTCACTTTACCAGTGTTCTGGGGCCGATTTCACAAAGATTGTTTAGACTGGTCTGTGGTGTTAGATCAGTCTTAATTTTGCTCATAGATTCGTTCAGTGTCAAACATGGTTCATAATTTTTGGCTTGCTAACATTTTTAACGAGAGCGCAATGAGAAAAGAAAAACGCAGCCATTTTTTTCAAAATCACTGTTTGCTTAATTTCCAAAGTAAAATGTCGCTTAAACATTTTTTTATTTGGGAAAAAACATTATTTAATTATTTTACCCAGAATTCATTGTAGCGTAATCCGGTTGAAGATAGTCAAGAACTAAACTACTTTGTGCTACAGATGAATTAAGACGTCTATCTGAAGTGTGACTATTTGTTATAACTAAGCCATAGTCAAACTCTGTCTTTGTGAAACCGGCCCTGATCTGCTTTATTGAAATGAAAGCCCGCCATCTGCTGGAGAAGCTGCGTCAAAATTTTAGGGTCGATTTTGGCCCCACCCACTTTCATTCGTTCTCATTTCTGTCCAATCACAGAGCGAAGACACGGTGATGCCTTTAAGAGCAACACATTTATGAGTGTGAACAATAGCATCATAGTGAGTAGCTTTCCTCTCCGCTACGTGGTGCCACACATCTACTATATTACCTATATGTCCTAGATTACAACAGTGTCCTACAGTGTCAGTGGAGGCAGATGCTGTTTGCTGTAGAGCGACAGTAGTGAACATCTATAGAGGCCACTACCGTCTCCATCCTGCTGTGTGTTGCTTAACTTCTGAGATAACTGAAACACCAGTAGGCTACAAAATTTACAATTATTTTCATATTAAATCTCTTTTTCCTGTCATGTAGGGGTTAAAACATAACGATGCAGGTGTTTAAATGTCAGTCAAATAAGGAAACGGAGAAGACAGATGACGTACTGTAAGAGGAGTCCTCAAACACAGCACAAGATCTCTCCGACTGTCATGGCGGCTCCCTTGAAGGGGGTTTGGTATTGGAGCAAGTAGCCACTGTAATCTTACATTTTCTCCGTCGAGAAGACTAGTTAACCCCGACTGAAGAGGCTCCTCGGAGCGGGTATTTACAATGGGGACTGTCCATGCTAAGGTAAAGCTCATTTCTCCCTGACAGATGGTCTATGTGCGGATTTTTGACCATGACCTCCCTGCCTACTGTGTGTGCTGAAGGCTGCGGTCTCTCCAGCATCTATCTTCGGTGTTCAGTGACACTCCGCTGCCGGGGACTGAGTGAACCGAGTGTCAACATGAGAGTTCTTGATGGAGAAACGATATAACTTTGTCTTCACATAATGTTACCAATCAAATGTAGATATCATCAATACGTATTTGACAGATATCCTCTTATTGCCAACTTATAATGGTCATTTGTCTGGTGATATTTACATTTACAGTGAAAAAATTGTTGTATTTTATGAAATAGTGGGACAAAGAGATGATTTCACTTTTCTGTTATAGTCTTATATGTTATTTAGGTCTACTGTCAGAGTACAGTAACCAGAAATCCCAGAATGTATATGTTTTTGTTCATTTTCTATATAATAACTGTCTATGTTCTGTAACTGGTTGTAGGAAATCAGACACTAGCTGACAAAAAGCCACACCCATTGACTTTACTGCCCTTTCTTTTCCATGACAGCTGCCCTTTAAAGGAGCCATACATTTTTTTTTTTTTTGGTCATGTCTTTGAGTAGGACCATGTTAGACTTAATTATAAGGTGTTACTGTTACACTTTCACCCAAGGATGTACGTTTGGTCTCAATATTGGTAGGGACACAACAACCTTGACACACCTCCAAAACAAGGAGGCCTTTATAATGCTGTCACCCAAATGCTTTATTAATATAAGATCTGAGTTTACATTCAGAAATGTAACGACATTTAAATAAAACTATTCACAGTAGCGGATACTTTGTTATAATAACTTACAAGTTAACATCAGAATAGGTGGACTATGGTTACATTAAATGATAGTTATATATACATATATTTAATCACACTATCATTTTAAACCCTCACCTAAAACCTTGAAGATGCAACTGTTTCCTCATCAGCCTGCTTTACTCCTCTGGTCTGCTGCTTTGTTTCCAGCGTCCTCAGTAATTCATTCATGGTGACATTTTCATGTGATTTCTTGACAGATATTCAAGCTTTAAGCTTGCTAGTTAACACTAGCTTATATGGTTGAATAACATCAGTTGACATTTTTCCACAGTGGAAAGGCTGGTGAGGTTAGGTACCAGTGCAATATTCTTACATGACATGAGCCTTCAGATAGTCCCTACCTTTTCAGTCAATCAAATGCTTGAATGCCTAAATCAGTTGTCTTGGAGACGTAGCCTCTTGGGGGGCACTGGAATGATCTAATATGACTTCCTTCCGAACACGGTGTGAACAAGTCCACTCAAATATTGGTAGGGAAAATTCTGTACTCCCAAAATATTGACTGTATGCAAACCTATGCCTTTGCTTTCACCTCACCATGTAACACAAAAAGATACAAAACAAGACAGTCCCAGCTTCACACATGAGCAGACTTGACTCACCTTCTCTGTGGACACAAAGTGGGATTTGTTATAGGGCTGTTGCGTGTCTTTGCATTAGATAGAACAAGCAGTGTTCTTTACATCTGTGTCCTTATGATTGGTGCAGAGTCTGGATCCTGTCCCGATGCATGGCCGGGACCTGGGTGTCAACCCTGATGACTTGGTGGATAGTCCAGAACCAGAACATGAGGCCAAGCAGGAGATCCTTGAAAACAAAGATGTGAGTATCATCACGGCAGCTCTGGTGTAAAAATTAAAAAAAATGTTTATACATAGATTTAAAGTTGATGATTTGAAGTTTAAAATACATTTTTTTTTTACAGGTGACACATTTCACAAACTTGAATTTATGTGTAGGTGAAATATATCTCTATGGACCTCTTACTGCATTGCACTCACATTTGTCCTTTGATGTCTATTTAAACTGATGTCTCCAGTTTTACATGTTTTAGAATCCTATTGTAGCAGTTTTGGTGTCTTTATCCTGTCAGTATTCTGCAGAAATTATTATGCGGTAGCGGTACGTTAGCATGGTGTAACAATATCGTCGTCATTTAAGCACAATGGTGCAATGAAAATCTTGCAGAGACCTGAGGAAGAAAACCACCTGAATACATTTTAAATGTCTTGCCATCCATATATGACAGTGATATGAAAGTAATCGAAGTAAAATGTCTTTGAAGGTGGTTGTCCAGCATGTCAACATCCAAGGTCTTGGACGGACTAAAGAGGATCTGCTCGGCTATGAGATTTCTGATGTCTTCCATGCCAAAAACCTCATTGACGTATGTATTTATGTGCTGTACAGAAAATCAAGACAGCACAACACACATGTGAACTGTTGCTCAGTTCTTATGTTGGTATGCTCTGATATTTTTGAACTGTGAGGAATAGTCATCAGCTTTAAAGAGCTTTTTAAGCTAATAGCACACATTGCTTTGTCATGTCTAGACGATGAGGTTTACTAAGTGTCTCTGTCTTGGTTACAGGTGATGAAAAAAGCTCACCTTGCCAGACAGAAGCTGCTCCGCCTGGGAATCTTCAATGAGGTGGAGGTTCTTATCGATACGTCTGAAGGTAACTGAGTCACTGAATGTTTGAACTCACCTGTCAGTGGTTATTTGCAGTTTGATTGGGGATTTGGTCATTCTCTTGCCTTTGAAATGGGTTTGAATGAGACAGTAGCTGAATGGGGAGTTATGAACCTA